TAAATTATTAAAAAAAAAAGGGGAAACCTTGTTTTTTCCCACGGGCCCCAAAAAATTTTTAAAAATTTTTTTTTTTTTTTTTTTTTTTTTTTTTTTTTTAATAAATGCAATTATCTGAAAATTTACTTTGCTTTGTCTGATGAAGCATGCAAATTAGCTAAAACAGAAGAAATTTGGAAAATTTCAGAACACCACTTCCTTCATCTGGAGCAGTATATTGCAATATAATATGTGAACGCAGTAAAAATTGTCAAGCTAATTTATACCACAAGCAATCATTCAACACTAAATTTCAAAGGCATGAAACAATGTGGTTTTATTCAAATTGTGATGTGGTAAGTCCCAGTGAGATCCCTGCATCTCCTCCTACACAATGTCATTGAAAATTGATCTGAAATGTCAGTGCTGTATGTGTAATTTAGTGTTTTTCTTCTTAGTTGTATGATTCCCCCCCTTGGTATGTTTTATATTCCATTCTCTTATTTAAATTAACAGCCAAAATTAAACTTCAATTTCTTTTCTTTTGGTGACAAAGTGGTTAGAAGTCATATCTGATGTTAGATTATGGAAAAGGACCCATGATGAACCTGTTCAGAATGTACTCTGCCTGTGCTGAATTGACTGGTGGGATAACTACAGATTTATTATATTGGCTGGGGATTTGATGTTCGTTTAGACTCTTTTCCACAATTCAACAGCTGTTTTTTTTAATCATAGAAAACTTACTGATATCCTTGCTGTCTTGTGTTTCCTCCTCCAGTTCTGATGTGGATGCTGCAGGTATGGGAGACTCCAAGCTGGACCCTCCAGGTTCATCTGCTTCAACCTTCATCATCTCAGTCATCCTCGCTCCACCTGGGATTCCCTTTTACACAATATTTGTCTTCAGCCTAGGTCAAAGTTTCAGCCATAGAACCCGGATCTCCAGGGTTTTTTTTTTTTTTTACTGAAACTGGAATCAGACACCAATCGGCATCTGATTAAATTATATTAAGAGAAACTGTAGACTGTAGCAGAGCTGAAGCTGCAGTGTATAGTCTCATATCTTGGTCACTAGTTCTGGGTCCACTTCTAACTTTCTCCAGTCTCTCGATCCTCACCTGGATAACGACGTTAGAGGAGGTGTCCGCATACGGCGTGGTCTTCCCCACACAGTGTCACAAACTCGGAATATGTGGCTCTAAACCATGAACCTCTACAGACTTTCACGTTGGAAACACTGGTTAACTCCCTACTAGCTGCTTTAGCTCCACGGTGGCTAACAGTTCAGCCACTTTGCTAATAAAGGCTAAATACATTCTGAATAGGAAGCGTCAGCTACAGATGACCGGCGATTTAAAAACAAATGTTGAGGAAGGGTCCTCATGAAGACTTTCTGAGAGACAGACTGAGACATTCACAACAAACAATAAGACGTTTTCTCTGTCTGGACCTACCCAGTCAAGTTTTCATTTTTACATTCAGTAACTTCCTACATACTAACCAATGAATGACGAGTAAAGCGTTGACTCGAAGAACAATTTCCGCTTTCAAACATTAGATTTTCACAATAAAATAATTTAAACGAAATTATTTAACAGATATTTATATTGCGGCATAAGACTGATATGTTATTCCATGTGTCCATCTTTTTCATGTACATTTATGGGATCTCTCCAGGTATTCCGGCTTCCTCCCAGTCTGTGTGTGGCTGGTTGTTTGCCTTATTTGTCAACCTTGAAACCTGATGGATCCCATCTCTCACCTGCTGATTGTTGGAGATTGGCACCAGAACCAGGACAAACGTGTTAGATAACAGATGAATGGGTTTATATATATATATTCCGATAAAGTGCTTTCCTGATGAAAATTAAATTCCCTTTCCAGACTCACACTAGGATTTTAGTTTGATTGGCTAGGTGGATTTCTGTCACCTCAGGTGCTACAAACAACAAAAGTTTTTTGTTATTATTTATTTATTTATTTATTTACTTTTGATCAACCAAAAACACTCTTTAGTTTGGTAAATTTCATTTTTAAGTGTCTCCCTGTTGCCATCTTCTGGCAAAAAAAAGATTAAGTCTTGATGTTGTGGTGACATTTCTGTGTTCAGAAACAATAAATGAAACCAAAAGTTAGTGAAGAAAGTTCAAAACTGAACTTTTAATATGAAATTGCTTTATTTCAAAAAGTTTGACAACTCAAATCCACCACTCAAACTGCATACATGTACAAATGACAGAAAACACTGACAATACTGTAGAACAAACACTAGTTCAGATGTGTATCGCAAAACATTTTTGAACAAATGCTGAACTGAGCAGTTTCTATTGACTGTACGTTTCTTCAGACTATCATGGGATGTAAAACTCACACTACAAACACTGCAGCTGAAAGGTTTTTCTCCTGAGTGAGTACTCGTGTGCTGTAAGATATACTTTCGAGTATATTTTTAACCACATTCATTACAGGCATGCCTTCTTATTCCAGTGGCTATCTTCTGTTCTCTTAAATGAGTTGACACATGACACGTCAGATATGAATTTTCAGAAAACCTCTTATCACAATAGTCACAGAAAAACGGTTTCTCACCTGTGTGGTGTCTAATGTGTCTATTCAGATTTCCCTGGTGAGTGAAAGAAGCTCCACAATAACTGCAACCAAATGGTTTCCACCCTGTGTGGATTACAATGCGTCTGTGGAGATCACTACGAAGCCTGAAACATTTGTCACAGTTGCTGCAAGCAAATGGTTTTTCTCCTTTATGAATTATGTGGTTTTTCAGAGTTCCCCAAGTCAAATGTTTTACCACATTCCTCACACCAAAACCGTTTCTCACCTGTGTGAGAAAAACTGTGAAAAACAGTTTCTCACACAGTTTGTGAGAAACAAACTGTATGGTATGTCATGTGAGCCTTCAGACCATCTAAGTATCTAAATGTTTTACCACATTTATCACAAGGAAAAGGTTTTTCTCCAGTGTGGATCCTCATGTGACACTTAAGATTTTGTTGTTCACTGAATGCTTTGCCACAATCCCTTCAGTTAAAAGGTTTTTCTCCAGTGTGGATCCTCATGTGACTTTTAAGACTAGTTTGTTCCCTGAATGCTTTGCCACAGTCCTCACAAGCAAATGGTTTCTTATGAGTGTGTTGTCCTGAATGACATGTCAGATGTTTGAGAAATGACAGCCGGTATGTAAACCGTTTACAACACTGTGGGCAGCTGAAACGTTTCTTGCCAGTTTTACCTCCAACACTGCTGTTTACATCTGACTGAGACGCCCGGGTTTCTTTCCAACTTTCATCACCCTCTTTAGTTTCAGATCCACAACCTGAAAGATTGTCATGATAATCATTCATATAACTGATTTCAGTTTCAGAAGACTCTGAGGAATTTTCATCTGTATTTGAGTAATTGGATCTGATTTTCTATTTCGTTCTGGTCCTCCACAGTCCAGTTGACCATGTTCTGTTTTCATTGAGCTACTGGTTGAAGCTTCAGTTTCTCTGTCGTCTTCAGTTTTGATTTGACAGAGTTCTGAAAATTCAAATTTCTCTTCATGGTCAATCTTTACAGCGGACTTCTCTCCCTCCTGACTGAACCTCAGTTCTTCCTCTTCATTCTTGATTTGAAGGAGTTTTCGGTCCTGCTGGACCAATCTGGAGCTCCATACACCACAATCCTCATCTTTAACCACCAAAAGTTTCTGTTTATCTACAAGAGACACATGGATATAATCGTTAACCAGGATCATTTATAATCCCACAATTGTTTCTGTTGCACTAACTTTAGAAGTTTATGTCTCCCTCACTGATTAAACCAACCATAAATGAGTGAATCTGGGAAAAAACGTAAGGTTAGCAGGTTTTTCACACTGTTTTTTCCATAAACTGAAGCTAATATCTTTTTATCATTAAAAGACAAATACGAGGAACACGTTAATAGGTTGTTAACCAGGGGTTGAAACGGAACATTTCTGGTGCTGAGAAAATGTCCTTATCTACAAGTGTCTTGCACACTTTTCATTTCTAAAAAGTCGTATGACTAATTTTTCAGCATCATTCACCTACTCTAGTTAAAACAATAACTTTAAACCTGGACTAAATTATTGTCAATTATTAGCAGAATATTTAAAGCTAAGTTTTTGATTTGTGAAACCTTTATACGAGTTATGACACTTCATTAAAAGGTGGTTTCTTGGATCAGGGGTGGAAATTAAAAAGTTTCTCCACCAGCCACAGTGACTGTAGAGAACATTTTTTACCGGCCACTCAAACATTTCACCAGCCACTGTTTTTTTCTTTCAATTACAAACCCCACCAGTAAAGGCTAATTATATAAAATATATGATTTATTCTTAACTCTATAAAAACCCATTTACTGACAATAAGTTTACCATACACGTAATAATTTAACAGAAAGCATGGACACCTTAACAGGATTGTAGTGAAATAAGTTCATTTGAAGTAGTTACTACAGCAAACTTTAACTACACAACCCACATTTTGGCTACAACTCCCCCGATAGTAAAGATGTGTCTAGTCATTTATAAATGGTATCAATAGCTGTTTTCCACAAGGTTCAGCAGCTAATCTGAACTCTTCCTCAATCTGTCCCTGGTCTCTCTCAATCATCCTCCTCCGACGATAATAAAACCCCTGAATCGCCAATTCTCCCTCCTTCTCCGCTGCTGAATCTGCTTCAGCGGTCAGTTTGTGTGGTAAACATATCGGATAGTTTGACACATTTTTTCTGAATGGGCTTATATGCTTTTTAGCTTTTGTCGTAATTTTTCTGATCCGTATCTCTCGCTTTTCTTGGACTCCGGTTAGCAGCTAACCTTATAACAGTGTTTCTCAACCCTGGCGGGTGCTAATTTCCACCCCTGATTTGGATCACACGAGAACTGCTCCAGCTCCAAAACTACAACGCATAGAGACCTTGGTGTCGCCATCCACAAAGAGTAAAGATACTTCTATGACTTACGACAACATTTAATTTCCCTTTGGCATAAAGTATTTTTGTTGTTTTAATTATCCTCATATAGTTTTTTCTTCTTACCTGCCGTTTGGTCTCTACCAACAACCTGCTCCTCTCGGACACCGAGCAGCTCCATCTAATATAATTTTTTAAGTTGTTAAAACTGTGACAGCTGTCATGTTGAAATTTATATAAATTTAAAAGCATTTTAGAAAGTCACAAAATGTGACTTGAGAAAAAAAAATCAAGCCCACAATCAACATTGCATGTAATTCCCATCCTCTGATTCTGGTCGGCTACATCTTGATTGAAGAAAATTTGAAGCCACCAACTTACTTGTCACTTATTTAATTAACTGGTCTGATTAGATTTATATGATTTTATTTAACTTTCCTTTAGGATCAATAAAGTCTTTTTTAATTTGAATTCATATCATTTCTGGATTTGAATTGGATCTGTCTTTTATTTTGTCTTGAGATTACATTTGTTTTGAATTACCACTGAAACTGAATTAAATTAAACCTCCGAGGAGAAACAGCGACTCAATAAACACACACAACAAAAGTCCTTTTTAAGGCTTTATTAATTATCATCATTCCAGCCACAGTTTGTCCTCATCGCTTTAAGTACAGACCTTTTAACTAAATCATATGACAGATTTTCACCTATTCGTGTGTAAGAAAAAAAAAGTTACCACTGCATTGAACACATAATGTAAGAAACCATATAGAAAATATTTAATAAATTCTTACCCCATGACCTATAATCACTTATTCTGCATGTTTCAAGGACCTCCTTCTATGATAACAATAAAGTCAAAAGGTTTTCTGTCTTCAGTTTTTTTTTTTTTTTTAACAATGTGCTTTAATCCTAAAGTCTTATGAGAACAACTAAAGCAAGAATGGCAAAACATTTAGGGTAAAAACTGGTCAAATAAATGAATAACATCCTTCACAAGCAAATCAATCAATATCTTTGTTTACAATTTAAATTGAGATGTTTCTATTCAAAGACAAAGGATACATCTTCAAGACAAATAATGCAAGAAGCCATTGATTCTTTAAAAATTCAGATTTTGTCCTTTGTATAATTAAGTCTAGTTAATAATTATACTCAATTTCCCATAATTCTTTTCATTCTTTCATATTTGAACTTGGAAAAATATTAAATGACTGAAGTGTATGGTATATTACCAGACTTGTGCAGAACCTGAGGGCATACAATGGAGGTAATTCAGCAATAATCTTATCACTCAGCAAAAAGGTTCCCACAATTAAGCCCGTCCTAATATATTAACGAGGAAAGGCATCTGAGCAGTTTTTACTGGTTGTGAAATCTCTTTTCGTGTCTCTTTAAAGCGCTCTGCCACTTAAACATCAAACCGCAAACATCACAGCTGAAGTTTTTTTCTCTAGTGTGGGTGATCATGTGTCTTGTTACATGGCACTTGTGGATGAATCTTTTGCCACATTCGTCACAAGCAAAGTTCCTCGGTGCAGAGCTGGCTCTCTGTTCTCTCGAGTGAACCGGCATGTGACACTTCAAATCGGGCTTTCTGTAGAATCGTTTATCGCATATAGTGCAAGCAAACGGTTTCACGCCAGTGTGCCGTACAACATGTCTCTTCAAAGCTCCCTCTCGAGTAAATCTTTCTCCACAATGCTGGCAGCTAAAGGCTTTCACCCCTAAATGTGTTACTACGTGCGATTGAAGAAGGCTGCTCAGTCTGAAGCGTCTGTCGCAGAAGTTGCAGGCAAAAGGTTTTTCTCCTTTATGAATCGTCATGTGTTGGTTCAGATTTCCCCTCAAAGTGAACTTTTTACCACATTCGTCACATTGAAATGGTTTCTCTCCTTTGTGGTGGGCCATGTGGCGCTTAAGGTGGTACAGATAGTAAAATGGTTTACCACAATCGTCACACACAAATACTTTATTCTCACTGAGGACTTTTTCAGAATCTGAATTTTGCTCTATTTTAGAAAAGTTTGCATCATCCAAGCAGCTGGAGGAATTTCCTCCTGCCTGACGCGTCCTGGTCTCCTCCCAGTCTTCATCGCCGTCTTCCTGTTCAAATCCAGAACCTGACGGATTATCATCACATTCGTCATCATCGTTCTCACCACTGGCTTCAGTCTCAGAAGAGGTGGAAGCATTTTCATCGGTGTTTGGATTTAAATAGGTATTTCTGTCTGGTTCTGCTCCTCTGTGGTCCTCTCTGCCAACTTCTGTTCCCATCTGTTCAGGTGAGCAGCTGGTTAGAGATTCTGCCTCCCTGTTATCTTCTGATTTGATGTGTTGACGCTCTGATGAGAGAAGGTTCTCATGGTCGTCTTCAATTTTCACCGTAACAACAGTGAATGGAAAATCGGTGTTGTCGGGCTCTTCCTGATCAATAAGCAACTCTCCATCCGGGTTAGTCAACTTTTTCCAGTCTTCATTCTTCACCCGGAACAGCGTTGGATTCTGCTGGTCCAAACTAGAGCTCCACAGATCAGGAACCTCTTCCTTAACCACCAACATCTGCTGATCACCTTCAGGAGACACATGGATTTAAGGGTTAACTGGGATTTTGTAATGACAGAAATATGAATGTTGTAATAACTTTATAAACAAACAATGAGTGACTGAATTTGAATGTTGTGTTTAAGATATAAAAGTTTAGTCCTGCTGAAGTGGAAGAAGAGGAACAGTCAGAGTTAAAAGAGGAGTGATTCTTTGGTTTTATTCAGACAAACAGCTCTCTGGAAATATAAATGCATACAAACTGCTTTCAGAATCTACCCTGCAGCTCTTCCTGTTTTGCTGCATATCATTCATGCAGTGAGCTAGCTTACAAATATTCAAATTTACATAACTGCTCATCTCTGCAGCTGCTTATTTTAACTCTCCTGGACCCCAAAGAAAACCCAACTTAAGGCCCATCCTCACCCAAACAGGTTTCTGCAGAAAATTTGTAGCAATTATACAAATTAATTTTTTTCCAAGTTTAAAGCCTACTTCTACAATACAACAGAAAGGGCTTAAAATAAGAGTCTGACATTACTATTGCAACTAACTAGTGGGTAAAAATATAAATAGTCTTCTCATTGGATGCTAAAACCTAATGGATTTAATCAAATATTTTATTTGCCACAACAAAATAAAAATTATAATTATTTTTAGGCTTTTTACACATACTGGAGGAGTCCATTGAGGAACCCATAAGTGTAAGGCATTGCATGTTTCTTAGAATCAAATATTTACAGATAATTATGGTTTCTTTATCTTTCTAGTTAACAATGGCTGATGTTTCTGGGACTAACTGTAGCGCTTTTGACAAATTACTGGACATTTAGCCTCCAGGTGTTCATGCATTGGAAGTTTGCTTTTTTCTTTTACAAATTTCTGCTTAACTCAGACAGAAGATAGTCACCTTCATGTGAAGATCTGGTGGTTTCTTCGCCAAACACAGATGTTCTCTCCGCTGACTTTGAGATTCCACTGTTTTCCATCCAAACCCCTTTATCACATTGTGTATCAGCCGCCATCTTTCACCTGTTCAACAGGATAAAAAGTGAGATTTCAATCCAGAGTTAGGTAAACTTTAAATGAAACTGCTTTTTGTTAAAAATAATTTATTACATTTTTATCTTACTTATTCATCTAAAGAAGGTTGGTGGGTTGGGTCTTTTTAAAGGCTGATGTGAACATGAATAAAGTTAGTGAGAATTAAAATGGGCAACAATTTCTCTTAATAATTATAATCTAGTTAAAATTATGATTATTTACCTAACTATATGTGGACATAATAACTTGAGATATGCTTTTTACTTGTTCAGCTATTCTGTGTCCAGTTTAAATAATTTATTGCCTTAAATTTTTGATCATAGAGGGGAGCTGCTGGGACATTAAGAACAGGAAGAAATAAACCTCCTCACCCCATTCTGACACTGTAGTCAGCTTCCTCTGGACTCCACAGAAAAATAAAACAAGCATCAACTAAAAATGCGGGCAGTGCATTCAAACATATGATTCATCCAGAGAAGCTTTCTGACTTCTGGCTGAGTCAGTCAGCGTGGTTGTATCTGCAGACTCACCTGGAGAAGGACATTTTCTTTTCAATCATTTTCCGTCGTGCTTCTTTTTATCCATCTGCACTGCTTAACTTTGCAATGCTTCATTTCTTATGCCCTTTTCACTTGAATTGTCTTCATAACTCTAACTTTTTAGAGTTTTCTTCAGACAAGCCTTTTATGTTTACAGGTTTGCATTTCCAACAATATGGTGGATGTTCTCGCGATGCTTTATGGGTCACGTGTAACGTCGTTGTACTATGTTATAAATACATTATTTTTGGAGACGTTTCCTTTTTTAAAATCAAACATTGCCTTTTAATTATGGGCTGGGGAGTGGGAGGGGGAGTATTTTATTAGATTTTTTTTTCGATGGTCTGATAAGTAATCAGTTCGAAGACTTCAACTAAAAGTGGCTGAAGTGCGATTTTGATCCCATAACTGATTTGTAATGCATTTATTTTAATTATTTAAATGGTTTTATTTATTTTTTTTTCAAGAAACACACAATATATTTTGTGGGTTTTTTCTTTATTAAAATAATAGATTATTTTATTGATCTTTTGCCTAAAGAATGGAATAAATAGACACTTAGTTTTAGCCAAGAAAAGCATAAACTTTTGACATGAAAAGGTGTAGAAATGTTTACATATTAATTACAGTAGAAACAAATAATGTATGTTCAAATATGAAGGCCTGACTATTGATCAGATCATCAAACTACCCTAACTTGCCCTGATCAAGATGGCGGCATCGTCGATGCGGCTGAAGCGTAGCTACGCTGTGTTTTGGCATAAACCGTCGGGCACTTATGTGTGTAACACCGGTGTTTGAGCTGTGTGATGGAGTTTCGCTGACTGCTATTCAGTGACGCTTCGTGACTTTTGCAGTAACCGTGTCGCAGCGCAGCGTTGTCCACCTGGAGCTCCGAGCCGGGCGTCATGGGGGATAACATTGTAAGTATCTGGACGGCTTGGTGCGTTTAACGGCTAGAGTCCGGAGCGATGAGGCAGCAGAATTAGCTTCGTCAGCTAACCTTAGCACAGAGTGGCTGCGGCCTGCTCAGCTCACTGCCTAAACTTAGCTCATAGCTCCTCTTAGGACATCCGACTAAAAGAAATGACCGCTGTTTACATGAAAACTTCAAAGACTGATATATATATATTTTATAATAGAAACATACGAGTCACAGTTTTATGTATTTAGTCCCTTTAGTTGTACATTAGCAGGAATATCCTTGGTGGATTTAGAAGAGGCTAACTGATCTGTTGGTTTAAATTAAGCCAGCGCAGATGAACAGAAACAGAAATAGTGAAATTTAAGGACAATATCGTGTTTGTGACCAACATGTGGTTTCATGGCCATTAGTAGCATTAACGCCATTTTTTTTTTTGCACTGTCATTGTAGTCATAATGTTATTACTCCACTATACTGACGGGGAGAGAAGGAGAGAAAAGTCTATGCTTTACTGGCGACCAAGGGGAGACAAACTGACATGGGGGGCTTTAGTTCATAAACAATTGCAGATGCGTTTTAAAAATCAACATTGCACCAATAAGTGAATTAACCTCTATGTTTGATTATGCAGATAATCAGGGTGCAGTCCCCGGATGGGATGAAGAAAATCCCTTCCACCAAGAGGGAGACAGCGGCTACTTTTCTGAAAAAGGTACAGAGTGCAGATATAAAACAATCACATGTGTAGTGTGTTCTACTCTTTCAAGTCAAAAAAAGAAATGAGCCCTTACTGGATTTTACTCATTTACCTCAAACCAATGTGATTTTAAGCCACCCTTCATTGCCTTTCAGTCAGCGTAAACTGCATTTATTTATAGCATAAACTATAATTATCTCTTTTGCTGTAAAAGAATCCAACTTTTAACAGGGTTGCTGTTGTAATATTTGATTCAAAACGTAGACCTGAACATAAGAGTGAACAATTGCTACGTTTATTAAATTTAAGTAAGCATATTAAATAATACAGAGTGTAACAAGCTGATATGACACAGTTAATAAGAAGGGCTATTTGCAGCTGTTTTCTTAACAGATGTGCTAACAAGCAATGTAGTTTTGTTTCTAAGCATGACCTCATTGATAGTAATAGATGGACGTTCTTTAGGTTCCACTTCACAGCAAGAAGTGGGGCAGGAGCAAAGCTAATTTACACTATGCACAAATCACATAGAGACGTAATGGATAACTTCATTGGTTTTAAAAGGGGAGTTTTCTATTTTAAACCTAGTTACAGGTATTTAGCATTAACATGCAACAGCACACAGCATCACTCAGCAGTTTGTCTACACGAAGAGAAAACCAAGCAAAAAGCAGTTCTGGATTAATGTTCCTTTTTTCGCCAGTTCATTCTGGTTGATAAATTATTTCGGTTTCATTTACTCAACCGTCGTACATCAGGTGAAGCACTTTGGTTAATTATTTACAGAGATGAACAGAAAAACCTGGATTTATATTACAGTTTATTTGCGTATTATGGGACTGAGTAATGATTGGGCCAAAATATGACGGATTACAACCTCTGATCAAATCAAAGACACTGAGAAACTTCCTGCTGATAGGTATTATTTACTAGAATGATATAATCACATTACTGAACATTTTACTGTGAGTAGATGGTTAAAAAAATCACATTGAATCATCGGTGGTCATAGAAGTTATGAATGGTCTCCAAAGAGGTCATGAACCGACTCATGCTCAAGTGCGACAACACCTGCAAAGGTATTTTAAACTATATAATTTAAAAAGTTATGTTCGTCAGCTTGTTACAGGGCTGTTATTCCCTTGTGTGTAACTTAATTGATAAAAAATAACCTAACTAGCTGCCTTATTATGTTACTTTTGCACTAAGAGGATGATTATCAAAGAACTTCTGCAAGGATGAAAAGTCCACGCATGATCTCTTAACAGTTATGTGACTTGAATATGAAACATGCTCACAAGGTTTGTTAGGATTTGAGGATTTTGTCGGGAAAACTTACAGCAACTGTTATCTTTTGGTTTTACTGAAATCCTCTTTTAAGATGGTGGTTGGACTTAAAAGGGAGACAAATCGAAGATCTAAAGTCTGGTGACAGGATGCAACCAGCTTTTTAAGATTTTTTTTTTTAAAAAACCCACAGTTTGAAACTTTAATCCAAACAAGTTGTGTTTAGCTGGAAATGTAAACAAATGTCTATTGTATCAGATGAGACTGTTGCTTTCAGCCTTCTTAAGAAAACGGGTGGAGATAACGTAAGCAACAGAGCCAAGCCTCATGTAGCCTCGCCTTGACCTTCCTACGCAATTCTGCTTGATTCTCATCTGCCTTCACTGCTCCGTCTGAACTTTCTCCCATTGAAGTGAATTTCTCTGGTAGAATTTCAACCAATCAGCAAACCGAAGGAGAAGTTGTGAACAATGACGGAGATGAACAGAAAAACCTGGATTTATATTACAGTTTATTTGCGGATGCTGCTTTAGAATTAGCAGCAGAGAAAGTGACCGAAGCCGCTAGGTCCGTGTTGGCCACACTCTCAAATATTGATTTAATGTTAACAGCCACCTCGTTCGGCTCGAGACTTCTCTCTCTTCACAGTGGAGGATGGTTGTTTACAGCGCAGGAGGTTTTCTGTAAGTTTTAATAGCATCAAACCGGCGTATTCCATATGTCACAGGTAAAAGTTAGCGATTGGATAAAATTAAAAACCTCAATGGATGGTAATCGGGTGTGATCCTTGCATGAATTACTTTTTTGATGGTCTTTTGCAAACCAAGATTTAACTTTTATCAGAAAGATAAAACCCCACCAAGAAAAAGTATTGAAGAAACTCCACTTGTTTTCTTTTCTGGTATTTTTTGTATTTGCTTGTTGTTGTTGTTGTTGTTGTTGTTTTTTTCTTAATGCAGGAAGACTCATTTCAGGTCTGTCCTGCACCGCTCTTCTATAGGCCTCCAGTACTGACAAGTACCTTGTGGGGAAAAAAGTCCACTCTGTGTGCTGAATATTTCCACACTTTTCAACACAGTGGCTGGACAGGCTTTTTTTTCTTTCTTTCTTTTTAGCTCAGACATGACTTATTTGACCCTGAATCTGGGTTTGCTTGTTTCTCATTTTCCTTTTTTTTAAACCGCTCTCTAAAGTGCCTAGCAGAATAATTATAGCTGCGTTTGAAGCATTAACTTTGTAAAACCTAAAATAGATCAAGATGTTGCAGAGCGTTGCTGCAGCGCCTCATCAAAAATGCATGTATCTGGGATGCAGCAGGATGGTGTAGCCTTCAGATCGATGGGAGGAACGGGTTTCAATTTCTGCCGATCAGCTGCCAGATAAAACAAAACCGAACCTGTGAATGTGAGGCAGAGCAGAGACGGTGTCAGTTCTGCAGCTTCGATATCTACCGAACCCCTTGCACACTTTCTTGTAAAGATATTCAAATTGATTGTAAAACTTCTAATTAACTCATAATACATGTTAAGACATTTTTTTCTTGAAAGGATTTTTAGATTTTTTAGAAAAGGTTCAGTATCAAAGGTTCATCAGCTGTCGGACTTCAGTAACTCCTAAATAATCATCATCCAGTCGGTCTCCGCCTGACTTTCTGCTGTTCTACCTGTAATGGGATATACAGCAGGCCCTCTTGCACTCTGAGCTTCCTGTAGCTTCATCGGGTCAGAGCGGAGCGACTATTAACCAGCTGAGTGGCTCTCATCCCAGGAAGCTCTCTGCTAATCTGCTTTGACTGAGTGACTGATGTTTAGCCTTTACAGAACTAGTGGCATGATTTGTCATTGTTTGGAAAACGTTTAGAACGAGTCAAATCCAGGAGCCAAATCTGGCACAGCATAAGTTTCTAGAACAGGGGTGTCAAACTACCGTCCTCAATGGCCGCTCTCCTGCAGCTTTTAGATGTGCCAAAACACTGGAATGAAATGGCTTAATTACCTCCTTCTTGTACAGATAAGTTCTCCAGAGTCCTGCCAATGACCTAATTATTCTATTCAGGTGTGGTGCAGCAGAGGTATATGTAAAAGTTACAGGGCAGTGGCCCTCCAGGCCTGGAGTTTGACGCTTGTGCTCTAGAACAAGAGTCAGCAACAAGGTTTTCCAGAAAAAACCCTCAACTTTCAGAGCCACAAATGTTGAATGAAAATGAATTTGACACCTGTGTTTTAGAAGGTGAGACGTCAACAATTTAAACATTTCATATGCATGTAGTAACAGATATTGTCTCCCACAGGTGGCCAAAGAGTTTGGGTTCAATTCCAACGGGTTTTCTGTTTATATAAACCGCAACAAGACCGGAGAGGTTCTGTCCCAGAACAAGTCCCTCAACCTACTAAAGATCAAGTAAGTTCAAGGAAACTAAAGATCGAGAGCGTTTGCGTATCTCAGTTCAGCTCAAATTATTGAAAGATTTTTCTTCTAAAATGCCGCCATTAACATCTTTCACAATTATTTTTCTTAATTGTTTTTACAAAACAATGCGTCAGTATACATTTTTCTTCAAGAACTTAGAGTTCACTTGAATAAATGGAAAGTTAAAAAAATGTAGTAGTTAAACCAAATAAAAAAAGGTCTGGCTATTTTATGAGCGTGACTTCGGCACATTGAAGCTGCAGAATATGTCTAATATATTCTGCAGCCCTATTTAGTTTCCTTTTTTAAAGATTTTGTAGAGTTTATATGGTAAATCCACTTAAAATGACGAGCCGTCATTTTAAGTGGATT